AGATTTAACATAGGATACTGATCTCTTCAAATGACATAGAACTAAATCTGCTTAAACCTTTTGTTTTGTTTTGTTTTTTTTTTTTTTTTCTATTTGTTTTTGTAGAAAGGAAGAAATTCTAGGTAAATCTGCAGTTTTTTTTTACAGAAAATGAATTTCCTCATTTGTTGGCAGATTTATTTTCAGGGGAGGAGTGGTGAGAGATTGAAGGAAGGAGGAGGGATCGGTTACCAAATGTTTTTCGTCTTTTAATTTTTATTTATTTATTTATTATTTTATTATTATTATTATTATTATTATTACTATCTTTTTTGGCTGTTACAGCGAAGTTTATTTAGTGGGTTATTTTAACGTTACTAAATATCGAGCAATTTGATCGATTTTGGGCCTTAACTCATGGTTCATTGAGTTTTTCTTTCATATATCTTTAATTCATATTTTTTTTTAGAGTTCATGTGAAAATTCAAGCAATTCCTACAAGTATTTCTTAACAAAAAGTTCAAGGTGGCTACTTACCTCTTCGTCGACGTTCGAGACTTCCGTTCTTGAGCTTTCGGTACCCAAATTACTTCAAATATTCTTTTGCAAACTCCTTATTGTGTCTAGTTTCTAGAACCATAAAGTTTTTCATGAGAACCAATTTAAAAAGAGGTTAAAATTGAGAAAAACTGAGGGAAGGTCAACATATGGCTATATTTGACTTTTATTGGTCAAAGTTTGACCTTTTGACTTTGGACTTCATCTTCTTCAATGGTTGCTGGAAAAATCACGATTTTCTCTTATCATACCCCTCTGGTTTTGCCTTTGTAAAGCTCTATATATAACTCTAATGGACTCGATTTCTTCACGAAACCTTTAGATAAAGTTTCAAGGAAGAAGTAGAGACTAAGTTCATACCTTTTCGTGGTATGTAGTTCAAGTTATAATCTTCCAAAATTCACCAAAAAAACATGTTTCTCGTCGGAGTAAATCTAGAAACCTTTCATTGGACAGCGGATTCTAAAGCTTTTCAGAACCCAATTCCTTCATGAAACTTGTTGGAAATCCCATGTGGAATATGAAGGAGTTGGTAGTAAGGAAAATGATTAACCATAGCCCTAGAATTTAGAAGAAATTCGAAGAAGAAAAATCCATAATTTAAAAGTTTCAAACTCTTTTAGGAATCCTTATCACTAGATTCTTATTTTAAAACATTGCCTAGAACTTCCTATTTATAGATCAAGCTTGGACAATCATTGATGTTTCAGAATCATAGTGAATTTTCTCCTTTTTTTTTATTTGAAGCGTTTCTAGAATTTTCGTCAAAAATACTTACTCTGAGGGTACTTTCAATATTAACCGTTGGGTGTTAAAAATATCTAA